CAAAATAATTTTTTTTTAAAGTCAAAAAAAGGTTTTCAAGCCCTTTTTTTTTTATTTCCCAAAAAATGGGGAAAATCCCCTTTGGGGAAAAAAAAAAACCCCCCCCCCCCGTTTTTTTTTGTGTCTCCCCCCCCCCCCCCCCCCATGGAGGACATTCCCAGGTCAGCAGGGGTCACTCCCAGTAGGAAATAAAACAACATGGACCAGTGTTCCCACTTCAACGTCTCACTGACGGCATTTAAAGAATAAAACGTGCATGAAAAGTTCCAAAGTTTCCAGCTTCAATGCCATCGGATTTAAGAAGAAGAGCTGGCGAGGGGGGTGTTGGGGGGGGGGGGGGCTCAAGAAGACGACATCGGAGCCTCCCAAACTCAGCTGCCTCAGGGGGAGAAGCTGGAGGGTTGAACCCTCAGAGGTTCTTCACACGTAGATACCTGGAATGCTTCCGACCTGGAACACCAACACTGTCTATTGGCTCCATGTTTGTCCCGTGTCTGTGACCCCTGTGACCCCTGTGACCCCCCCCGGACATCTACCCGAAGCGGTACTTGGGCCAGTACTTGACCTGCGTACGCCTCGGCCCCGGCGCAGCAGCGCGGACGGCCTTCGCCGGGCGAGGATTGGCCGGCGGCGGCGGGGGAGGCGGGGCTTTCCTCCTGCCGGTGATGGTGAAGCCTCGCTCGCCGCCGTCCCGCAGGCTGACCCTGGGCAGGAAGTGGGTGGAGACGTGCTGCGGTTTGACCCGCGGGCTGGAGCCCATTTTGGCCTTCCCTCTCTTGTTGAGGGCCACGAACCAGTCGCGGGCGGTGCGGCGGTGGCGGTGCAGCAGCGAGGCGTAGGTGTTGTAGCTGTTCTCCTGGAAGCGCTCCCTGAAGCGGCAGTCGTCCGTGAAGCGCTCCTGTGGGAGAAGAGGAGCGCGCGGGCGTTACCGGGCTGAGCCAAACGAGACGCCGCGGAACTTCGTCAACTTCCCCAAGATTACAACATTTCATTAGAACAAATATGAACAACAAGTCTGAGACCCCAAAAATACGCCTGACATGTTTGGGAACGTGTGTTTTAATCTAAACTGGATTAACAAATCGAAAAACCTGCTCAATTTGTCGATTGTTCCGCGTGTTCCACGTGTTCCACGTGTTCCACGTGTTCACCACGTCCACATGCGACCATGAAACCCTGCGTCTGTCTGCCGTCTGTAGAGAGAGGAACCCGCCCACTGAGGAGCTCTGATTTACTGCCAACACGCTGCTGCTGTGAGGAGATGTTGCGATCTTCTAATTAAAGAACACAAGTCATTGGTTTCTCTTAAAATAAATCAATAAATACAAAAAAGCTGAGAAGCAGGTAAAAAATGAAGGAAAAAACAGTTTTTGACCCGGAGGAGACTTTTGTCAGAGCCAAGGAGAACTTTCAATTTAAAACAGACACACTGATTTATTGCGTGATAAACGACGTAGTCAGACACGAGAGGTCCGGCCCATTTCTGCAAACGAGGTTAAATCTGCAGCCTCTAAGTATCGTGTACGTCGGCGTCCTTTAAACGTACAATGCAAACTCACAGTGCCGCATGCACTGACGCGTCACTCGCAATAATCTCAGCTGATCATCAGAATGCATGTCATCCGGGCCCCTGCGGCCTGTTTCCCCCCGACGGCGCTCGGCCCGAGTGGCGAAGGCCACGGCGGTGCAGACGTCCATTGAAGGCTCCCGCCTGGTGCCTATAAATATCTCGGGGTGGGAAACTCCGACGTGTACCCAGGGATGCCTCCGCGTAACGGCCGCCCTGCAGAACCTCCCGCCGCCCCGGCGTGAAGCGAACCGTTGCGCTTCGCCAGAGGGTGCAGCGAAGCAGAAAATGATGCCATTACTTGCGTTCGGTAAACATGCCAGTCACAGGAGAACGGCACAAACCTTTAAGTTATTCAACGCGAGCCACTGTTCCTCTCGGCTCTAGTTGTTGTTGTTTTTTTTAAAGATGATTAGAAAGTGGAACATAACTCGCCGGTCGCTGCTACGGGTGGGTTGCAGTGATTTAACAGAACGCTGAACGTTCGAGCAGCAAGACGCGCTCTGGTACCAGTCAGGGAGTCACACATCTGGAAACAAATCCATCGGAGCATGAATGAATGCCCTCTCTCACGCACACGCACACGCATGCCGGGGTAAAGCTTCGGCTGTCTTTCATTGGATTTAATAACCCAGAGATCTTATTGTTAAAACCGCTTGCACAGCTGTTTAACCTGGCGCTCGCCCTGCGGGGTTGGTCACACTCTTGTAAAGGGACCTTTCCCATGATCCTCGGGGGTAAACGGTGCTTGAGACAAAGGTGGAAGGTTACGGATCTCTTGTAACCGATGTCCACACGTGTGTGCGCCGTGTGTCTCGCTGCCGTGGACAGATGGACAGAAGTTCCTTTATCATCAGTGATTCCGCTCAAATCCAAGACTCAACTTTACGCTGATATTAAAAACTCTACCGACTGGTGAAATATAAGAAAGATTTAACATAACAAAATGCAATATAAAGTAATAATTTGTCAAGGAGCCACATCACATCTCTTGAATTACTGTTGATTTAACCATCTGTCCGGGAATCCGTCTGGAGGAGCAATCTTCAGGATTCCTCCTCCGGAGACCACGAGGGTAGACGGCAAACAGATGGAGATCAACGTAGGACCTTTAAACTGGGCTCAAATGAACTCTTGAATAAACTATCGCCGAGACATCAAACAGCAGGAGTCCCCTCGTCTTTCCTCCTCGGTCCGCGACCTTTCCTCCTTCCTAAAAGGCCGCGTTTGCTCGGCACGCCACCGTCACTGCGCCGATAAATCGCCGCGGCGGGAACATCTGAATATGAGACGCGGCAGACGACGCAACAAGATGAGGGTCAGCGCGTCACCCGACACCGCAGACGGGGGGGCCCCGGCGCCCGACCGTTACCCCCCGCCCGAGGGTTACCTCCACCCCCACCGCATCAGGGCGGTTGGAGTGGCGCGGTGCAGCTGCAGACACAGATTGGAGTTTTAGTTGTGCAAATACGGAGAGCTGCTCGCGAGGCGGAAATAAGCTGCGAGCGGCGTTTGGGGACAGAGAGCCGGGACGCCAGGTTCCTACAGTAAGTGTCACAGCTGCAACCGAGAGAGAGCCCCGATTAAAGCGGCAAACTTCAACTTACGGCCCAGAAACAGTTCATGCGATGGTTCTAAAATGCTTTGAAAATCACTTTTTAAGGTCTGTGCCGAATGGAACAAACAACATCCTTTAAAAAAAAAAAGAATAATTGCACACAAACTTAATGCAGAGCTTTAAACCGGTCGGCAAACAGGGTTTTACGTCTCTTGGAGAAAAACCCTTAAACTAAAGAAAGATCCTGAGACGGAGACTCTCTCCACACACGCTCACCCGCCGGCGATGGAGGCACCTCCACCAGAGCGGATCGTCGGGATAAATATTACTCATGCTAGATGCACGGCCATAAGCCCCTCCCCCTTTTGGACCAGTTGACCCTTTCCTGTTGTACGTAGAGATCGTTTGTTCAAAGGGTCAAAGTGTTGTTCACAGACAGCTTACATACGAAAACACACACAACTTGTGAGGAACACGAATTGGGACGAGAGATAGCAGCAATGGTCACATCCTAACTGATGTTAGCAAAGCTAGCTAACTAGCCTGCAAACCTGGACTTGGAGGTTGGATCTCTGTTTCTGAGCGGGAGGGTTCGGGTGACGGCGGATAGCAGAGCAAAAACCCGCAATTAGGTTTTAGTTTGGAGGGTTTGCTATTTTCTTTCCTCTGCATCCACATCCATATTTAAAGTCCTGTTTGAGATGCGCTGCAGGAACTTTTCCAATTCCCTCTTTGTGTAAGCTGCAGTGAGGGTCCGCGGTGGGATCCGGCGTGGAACGCGGCTCCACGGCGGACGATAAAAGCGAGCGTTGCTGCTGAGCTACGCACAAACCCCCACGGCGGCTCGCGTCCGATGGTTCACCCCTCGCGTTGATCTGCGCTCGTGTGTTGTGTACTATCTGCCGGCCCAGACAGGACTTAATCGGCTCTTCCCGTTAACACATGCTAATGAGGAGCCGCTTCTATCTCTTCGCCTGCCAAGGCTCCCGTCGGAGGGGCCGACTCCACCCCGACCCGAGCTGTTGTGGTGCAGATTGGGGTTTATGGGTCCCCGGGGGGGGGGGGCGATTTGAAAAGGTCTTTGAGATTACAGCAGTGTGACATGCTGATGTCAGCTTGGGCGGAAGCTAATAAATGGGACAAATATTGCTGCGCTGGGCAGCGCGTTGATGGGAGTCCAAAAGAAGTTGGGCTGCAGCGGAGAAGAACATCATGTCTCCTCCGAAAGAGGAGAAGCTCTGGTTCTCTCCGCTGGAGGACCTGCTGGGGTCTGAACTGAAGGAGGTTCTGGTGAACCTGCACGATGTCAACTGGCTTCACCGGAATCCGACCCAGTGGCGCCAATAAGGAGCATTCAGAAGAACTATGCAGAAACATCTTCTCCCTCATGGTCTCCTTTACTGATGGAGGTCTACAGTGGATCAGGACTGAACTGAGACCGATTCAGAACCCGTTCTTGTCATCAGAAAGTTAGCTGCTAAATAATATGTTTTTATCCAGGAGGTAATAGTGTGATCTGGACAAACCACCAACGGGTGCGTCTTTAAACATCTATTTCTTCTATTTGATTGGGCAACAACACGTTAGTGACCCCCTGGAGGGCGGCCTGCACAGTCAGCAGAACCTTCCGGATACTCACGGTGCCGTAGAGCCGTCCTCTGCTGTTCATGGCCAGGAACCTGTTGCTGTGGACCCCTTTGATGCCGATGACCCCCTGAGACACCGCAAAGAGCTCCAGGACACCTGGGGGGGGGGACAAAGGACACGCTGGAGCGATCGATGGAGGAGAGGCGGGTTTCTACTCCTTGGCGGTCTGAGTAGGAATGTGCATCTAACGAGGGAGTACTGCACGAGAACACTGACGCTGAAATGAGAGTTGAGGGGAAAATTCAGCTTTTTAAAAAAAAGGAACATCGCTCAGTTCAAAAGACATTTAAAAACAAACCTTCTCTTCTCTGATTTTGACATTAAATGATTTTCTACCACTGCTCTTCATCCAGAGCGAGACTGAAAACTAATTTATAACTGCATTAAAAAGCAAAATCAGTGGTTATTGTTTTTTATTGTTCTACCAAAACTACCAACTTACATTTAACCCCTTTGCCATCACGTAAAGTGAGTACATAGTTTCTTTTTCACACATTTGGGCCTTTGTGTGAACATATCCACTTTAACCAGACTGTTGTTGTTGTTGTTGTTGTTGTTGTTGTTGGGACATCAATGTTGTCAGACCAATGGATCCGTCTGACTGCTGCTCAGCGCCGAGGTCGTGATGAGAGTCACAAAAGCCGAAGGAAGCCCCAGAGTTTTGCCAGATGCGGAACGTGACGTGATGGTTGAACGGATCCAAGACGCTGTCGCGCGGGACGCTGAAGTCCACGTGGACCTGACAAGACCTGTGAGGGGCGCCGTGAAATGGAGGCACAGGAGCACTTTCGCGGGGAGCTGCGAGGCGCCGGAGGGTCCGCGAGGGTCCGATGGAGCAGGAGAAGCAGACAGTCTGCTGCTTGACTCGCGGGCTAAAGGACGCGCGGCCCTCACACGGGGAAAGTGATGCATTTAACTTGATATAGTTTTAAATAAATGTTTCTAGTCACAACTTGTGTTTTCTTTAGATTTCTCACGTGTGCATCAGAATTGCAAAAAAAAGCATCTTATTTGAGTTTAGAGATTTTGAAAAGCAGCATGTTCGCTAAGCGGCGGCGCGCTGAAAAGTGGCGCGAAGGTTCCTTTTTTAACTGAACAATAACCCTGAAAACAAGTAACATGTAATAATCCATGATCACATTTCTGGTTTCTGTCTTGAGGAGAAAACACAGTAATATTTAATGTAAACATTTAGTGATTTTCATGTGTAATTTCTCACCAGCTAAACCCATTTAACACCAGCAAATTGAATAACTGATATTATTACTATTAAATGTATATATTGTTAAATTATTGATTCATGTAAATAAAATAACATGTGTTGATACAATTTCTCGTCATGTCGTTGCTGCTTAAAAGAAACATTTCAAAGATGTCATTTATTGGCTGTGAAGATTTAACTTTTAACAACTTATTATTTCCGTATCGTTGAAGTTGGTTTGTTACACAAACAATAGTCCATTAGTTTGGAAGGAGTCAAAAGGTGAAACAATAGATGGTGTGATTTGATTGGCAGCGCAGCGGGGACAGAAACAGACGCGCTGATGTCTGTGTCTCACTGCTGCACCTGTCACTTCCACGAATAGTCTACCTGCCGAACCGGACCAGGCCCGCGGAACCGGACGCCTCAAACGGGGGACGTGCCGGGGACCAGCTTTCGGGACGCGAGTTAAGACATCGCAAAACTGCACAACACAGGAGAGGAATCAATCAACCGCGGATCCGAGTGCGCATTCTCGGCGAGACGCGCCGGACTCGCCTGCGCGTGCACGGGACGCGCGCGGAACCGATCGGCCATGTGCCGATAC